AGCTCGAAATACCCGCTCGAGCGGACATCAAAATTCTGGATTTCCCAGATTGTGTTCTTGAGTTCCAATTCAACTTTCCAGCTACAATTCTTGCATGCAATGGCTCAAAACTCAAACATACACATATTAACATGATACCAATGCAATATTACAACATTAAGAAGCTCAATTTCTTGATTTATCTGCATGCATGTCCCGAAATATGTCAAACTCAACATCAACATAACAAACTCATGCATTCAAGCTCATGTCTTCTCAAATTGTACATGCATGTAATGAATTAGCCACATTCTCTACTTACATAACACAAAGGGTGATCAAGACATGAGTTTCCTTTAACATTTCACTTGGATTATACACATTTGTGCTCAAACATGCAATATCAAAGTGATTTCCTACATGCATGCACATATTAAGCTTCAATTCAACAAATACAACCAAATTTCATTTCAATCTTACTCTTGATCACCAAATTAGCTTGAGCACACATAAATTACAAACTATAATCTAAGAATTACTTACCTAGGAGCTTGATTCTCACAATCTATGATTAAATCTTGAATTAGACTTCCAACCTCCAAGTTTCAAGACAACAATTGCACAATCCCTCTTTCTCCCTCTCTATAGTCGGCTCTCCCTCTCAAATTGAGTCCAAGAATCAGTCAAAACGAGCTAAAGGAGAGAAATGAGGTGTAGTGCTCAAATACATCAAGTCCCACTAAGTCAATATAATAATAATAAGGCAATTGGGCACTAATCCACCAATTTAATCGATTTAATATGACCTGAATCAATTTTTTAATTAAATTTCACCGTAGGCTCTAAAAATTATGCCAATCACAATGGCATAATCAATTCCGGGTTCTGTGGCCGATAAGGCCCTCAATTTAATTTCCAAAGCAGATTATTCAAATAGATATTCCTACGGCGAACAGATAGAAATTCAAGATCATATATATTCACATAATGGCACACAAATCACATCAAAACGCATAATCACATACGTATTAGGGACCAATTCACATAATACAGAACAGGGGTATCACAAATATTATACATTTTTTTTACCAAAATGTTTTTTAATCATAGTATAATATTACTGTAAAAATAAGTAATTTTATTTTTAAAAGACAAATTATCATAATTTAAAAAAAACTACGTAACATTTATAATAAAAAAAAAAAATACAAAACAAGGTATAACATTGCCCAAACTGAAAGTCTTCCTATTGTTCATCCCAAAATACTAATTTAAATATCTAAATCTTAAAATATGATTCAAATTTTTAGAAGAAAGACGAAATAATTGGATAAAAGATCCCGTACTCTACTCTTCAAGTAATCAATGATATATTAAAAAAATATTCAAACTTTAAAATATATAAATCAAATACAGTTCAAGTCTAATTCTCACTAAACTAAATTTATTTACATTGCACATTTTAGATGTTGGACATTATATATATATATATATATATTAATATAAATGGACAACAGTATAGAGCCTAAAAATTTCATCTTCTCGAATCTCTCATTCCTCAACTTCAGCTTACCTCAAATGATTGTACCATACCATTTGATTTTGAAGGAAGAGGGTAGGAATTGAATTTTATGAGAAAGCACTAATCAACTATTAATGATAATCTCTTTTGCTAATATGTCAACATTGTATCTTTGGCTTAAAAATATTTATTGAAGTTTCTTTTCTTAATCATTGAGTCACACAAAATTTTTCAAACAAATCAGTTTTAAAAGTTGATCTAATAATTAAGATTATATTGAGACAGATAAACATAAAATTTAACAATACTATGTACACAAAATTCGCACTATGAAAATTACATAGAATATTGAATGTATAATTTAGATTTGCTTAAGACAAGAATTTCACCACGTAATAGTTTAAGGGTAAATTATACTTATTAATACTCTTCTCTCTTTAGTTTGTTTACTTTCAATTGTAAGAGTCAACCATTTATATTTTAAATCAAATTGTAATTTTACAATTCCATCCATTTACCATTAACAAGCTAACATAAATTAAAAATAGGGGGATTAAGTGAATTTTTTTTGTAAAAGTATAAGGACTAAATGAGAATTTAATAAAAGTATACATATGTTGTTTTGGGTATGACTTATTTTATTTTTTTTACTTATTATGGAAAAAAATATGTTGTTTTGGGTATGACTTATTTTATTTTTTTTACTTATTATGGAAAAAAAAATGCAGAAAAGTAGAGAGGTGATGTGACGTAAATAAATCAATAAGTTACTTAGGGTGTGTTTGGTAACGTTCCATTTACCATTAACAAGCTAACATAAATTAAAAATAGGGGGATTAAGTGAATTTTTTTTGTAAAAGTATAAGGACTAAATGAGAATTTAATAAAAGTATACATATGTTGTTTTGGGTATGACTTATTTTATTTTTTTTACTTATTATGGAAAAAAAATGCAGAAAAGTAGAGAGGTGATGTGACGTAAATAAATCAATAAGTTACTTAGTTTTTATGTTGCCAAAAGGGACCAGATGTGAAAAATGACACTTTCTACAACATATAAAAGTTTTAGAGACCAAATTTTTTGGTCTCTGAAAGTGAAAATTTTGTTGCAAAAGACATTTACGGGTCAAAATCTATCTTTATGGTGATAGTCGCTAAAAGATCATCCCGAAAAATAAAAAAATAAAGCTTTTAGTGATAAAATTTTGAAAATATCACTAATAAATAGATTTTTAGGGACAAAATAATATGGTCTTAAAATAGTTTATTTTTTTAGATAAAAAATTTGGTCCAAAAAGGATAATAATTCATCACTAATTAATGTCTAATTTTCGTTGCTAAAAATATAATAATGACAATTTTTGCAACAAAAATATTTGAGTAATGCTAGAGATCCCAAAAATTTTACCAAACTTTCTATCAAATGTCTCACATGGGTGTGGGACCCACATAGGATCCATATGGTGTGGGTCTCACATCATGTGAGACATTTGATAGAAAGTTTGGTAAAATTTTTGGAGTCCCTAGCATTTTTCAAAATATTTGATCCTTAAAAAAAAAATTTGTCCTTAAATTTTAGTCTCTAAAATCTTAATTTTTTGTAGTGAAATATACTTCAAATGATAAATTCTGTCAACATTGTTAACAGTAGATGAATAAAAAAATGACATTACAACTTGACTTAAAATGTAAGGGATAGACTATTACAATTAAAGGTGAAAAAACCAAAATGAGATTTTCGTGAAACTGTAAAAAGTGTTAAATGTAATTAATTCATAGTTTAATCTCAATCACACAATGTGACGGTTTGGTGCAACTTATATGTGTTTCTTATAAGAATTAAAAAAAAAAAAAAGACTAAATCAAAAAAAATCGCAAACAAGTCCAATTGAAATCAAACTACACTATTTAGTTTGGTGCTCTAAATGTATGATTCAGGTCTCATTTAGCAAGTGATAATTTTAATCAAAAAGTGACTAAAAAAAAATAAAAAAACTAATAACTCATACTAAAAAGTTAAAAATTCTTTTTTCTCTTCACTTTTTACATATCTTTTCGTAAAAAAATCAAAAAATCATCTCAAATATACTAATTTTTTTTACGTCATATTTCAACCAAAAAATTAAAAAATTACTAAAAAAATTTATTCCCAAACGAGACTTAATTCTAATTCTTAAAATATATGAATGTAATTTACCGTTCAGTCTATAATTAGTTTTTTTTTTATTTAAATTATTTAAGTTTTTTTTACTGTAACAAATTATTTGACACAAATTCAGACTCTCTAAATAAAATAATCTATAAATAAAGTATAGGAAACAATCTCGTTATCTTTACTGTACACACCGATCTCTACTGAATTTACTGATTTAGGGTTGGTTTGGGATGTCCTAAAAAAGTGTACTTTTTGACTTATTAGTGGGTTTGGGTTGGGTTTGGATTAGATTTGATGTGATGTGTTAGAGAGGTGATGTGATTTAAATAAAATGATGTGACTTAAATAAGATAGTGACTTTTTAACTTTTTGACTTATTTAGTACATGCCAAACTAGCCCTTAGGAATATAGACAAAGCAGTGTCAATTCACTGCATATAAGCATGTGAAATTCATATGTGTAAGCATGCATGGACCCACTAACGTCCTTTGAATCCCACATGTCTCGTTCGTTCGCTCCCTCAAACACGTACCCAACATCTCCCATTCCAAGTGTCACTTCCACCTTTCTCCTTCCTTCTTGTTTGCCCACCTCTCATTGGCCCATAACCCCACTAGTCTCTGGAAACTTCTATTTACACATACTCATTACACTCCGCATCCGTTTGGAAAGTGGGTTGACTTTTTGGCTTTTTGGCTTTTTTGACTATTTTAGCCTGGGCTTAAAAGCTTGGTTTGGGAAGGGCTTTTTGGCTTTTTGGCTTTTTTGAATTTTTTTGTGAGAGAAGAATGTAATGATTATGGGTTGGATGTGATGTTTTGTTTGTTATGGCTAAAATAGCCTATTTTGTTTTTTGTGGCTAAAATAGCCAAAAAAGCCTCCAACCCACCTTCCCAAACGGTGCCTCCATGTATATTTTTCTTAATAAATAATTTGTTCTGAAATAATATTTCGAAAATAAACATTTCTTTTAACAGTAGAATTTTAAATTTTTTTTATTTTTTCAACATTCAACTTTTAAATGTATTTATTTAAAGGAAAATGTTTAAGGGCCCTAATTTCTGTGGCTCAAATGGTTCAAATTTGCTAAAACGACGTCGTTTTGACAATTTTGATGTTGTTTTGTACTCAAAACGACATCGTTTTGACAAATTCGAACCATTTGAGCCACAAAAATTAGAGTCCTCTATCATTATTGTTATTTAAATTATATGTAATGTTCATATTGTTGTTATTTAAATTATATGTAATGTTCATAATAATAATTTCACTCGAGAATAAAATTATAATAAAAATAATCATCATTAAATATTGGTACAAAGTGAAATGAGTGCAAACAGAAACTCCCCTTTCTCCACTCTGAATGTAAATAACCTCCCACCAACACCACCATCACCATCTCCTCTCACTCCTCTCTCTCTCTTTCTCTCTCTCTATATATAGTTCTCCCACTAAACCATTACAGTAACTTCAAAGAAAGCTATTATACTTACCACTTTCAAATTTCCAATTATTCCATTGGATGATATGATGATGCAGGCTTTGAATCCCTGCACTACCACCACCACAGCAAAAACAGCTGAGATTATGTCTAGGTACAGACCCATTGCACCCAGGCCTGAGATTTCAACGAACTCCATTGAGGGCTCTAATCATAATAGCTCATCTGAGTCTCCAACCATCAGGCGATCTCCTTACCTGAGGAACGTATGGCCTCACTTGCAGGCTCGGCCTACCCGAACCAGGAAGAGAGGAAGGACAGCTGTCGCTCCTCCCCCCATCAAGAGACCAAGGTTACACTTCTTTGGTCTCACCTCTTCCCCCGCCAACAACCCATCCTTGCAGGGTTTTGCTCATGGCGGCTTCAATGGACTTCCTCAGGTTCCCGTCTCGAACAGCCTCCTCGGCATCCATGAAAAGCTAGCTCAGACTCAGACCACTCCTTCAAGCTTGGTCACTCTTTCTCTCCTCCCATGTCCGATCATACCCAATCAACCTCCACCGCCGGAACTCAACGGAATCAAACCTTGTGAATTTGAAGAAGTTATAGATTTGAACACAGTAGCTCAAGTTGTTCCTGAAGAAAAGGATCTCCTGCAACAACTTCAAGGACCCATTAGCACCCATGTCATAGCACCACAGCCTGTTCGGCCGGTTGGCTCGAGTATATGTGTCGGATCCATAAACAAGGATCAGGGTTCAAACCCAGATCCTCGAATTCCCAAGAAGAAGAAACGAGAGGAGGTAGAGGAAGAGGTTGAGTCAGAGGCCTTGCCAGCCGTGGTATCGGACTCGAACAACAAAGTAAGGCTAGCAAACTCGGCTTACAAGGAGATGGTGGGTCAACCAGAATGTTCATGGCTGGATTCTATGGTTACATGCGATGGTCGGCACGCGCGCGGCGGTGCATCAAAGAGGATCTGTGGGGAGGTGATGCTTCAATTTTCGGATTCGTGTGTGCCTGTGGACTCATCAAATGGGTTTTCTTGCTGGGTGACAATTGAGTGGGGAAACAATGGGAAGAGCAGCTCAGTCCATGCTTTCTGTGATGTAATTAGGCTAACCTGCGAGTCCAGGGACTACCTCTTTGAATGGAGGTTCCATACCAGAGAGGCTTCTGAATCTGCTTGAAGCTTTTACTGTACATGGTAATCTTAGTATACTAAAAATGCCACTAAGTATTATTTGCATATATAAGTAATGAAAGAAAACTTTTTTCAGCATTTTGTTTCATGGTTGGATTGAAAGACCCTATTTATGTATTCATTTTATATATTTTTTGGGTTTTTGGTATTAGAAGTCTGGATTTTGTTCAATCACTTTAAACATGATATCTTTGATTGGTTCTTATTCTTTTACTGGTTCGCTCATTACAAGAAATTAAGATTTTAAAGATAAATTTTTAAGAATAAAAATAATTTGTCTGTAAACTTAAACTTTTAAGGGCAAAATAAAAGAATTAAAAAAATATAAATTTAATCCTACTATTACATTTTTAAGAACAAAAATAATTTGTCGTAAACTTAAACTTTTAAGGGCAAAATAAAAGAATTAAAAAAATATAAATTTAATCCTACTATTACATTTTTAAGACAAAGCTATTGGGTTACAAAAATGTTATGGACTTTTTGCCTACAACTTTAGTTGGTCCCAATAAACTAACTCATATATTATTTTATTTTGTTTTCATTGTTCGAGCTTCAATAATCGGGATTTCATTCCCTTCTCTACATCACTGTCTCTTTCGTTCTCTCTCTCGCACTCGATCAAATCCCTAAATCTCGATCAATTGAATCAATCGTGTATGAGCTTGATTCTTCGAAGCTGAAGCTAAAAAGGATTGAAATAGGGAAAACAATACTAATTAATCATATATTTGAATCGCCATTGAAGAGAGATAAGTCGATTTTAAGATAAAATAATTGTATCCATAGACTTGAATCGCCATTGAAAAGAGATAATTCACAACTCATGAATGATTTTGATTTGATTTGATTTTTTTTTTTTTTTTTGTGAGAGACTAATGATTTGAAACGATTTCTTATTTTTTATTTTTTGTTTGCATCAGAAGTGTTTTCATGACAAATTCCTTACAAACTGTTCATCTCTATGTTATTGTTTGATGATTTTTAATCGTAATTGCTCTGTCAAATTCCTGTATGATGGACTAACCTTTGCCACAATGAGAGGAACTGGGCATGAAATTCCTCTATTACAACCTAAGAAAGCATTTATTCAAAATGTTTGAGTAATTGATATTTGTTTCATTCAATAGATCTGATGAATCTTAGGATATTAATATGATTGGATTGCAAAGCAATATCTTGCAATATCACAATATATATATATGTTATTTTTTTTACAGATCGTTAATATCTGGTACAATGCTGAAAAGACTATATTAGGATCAACTCATTACTAAAACTGCTTTATTATTGTATGCATATAAGTTGTTTGATGAAATGCTTATATGAGCTTTCTTTTTGGAGTTAGAATTATTGGCCTTGTGGTGATTCAAAATTACTCCCCTTATTTTTGGGAAATGCAATTATGCACTCCCCTTATCTTAAGAAAAGTTACGAATTTTTGCGGTCTTAGCTACAAACAATTGTGTAGTTTAATTTGTATTAGTTGTATTAATGAATTTAATTTGTATTGGTTATGTGTAAGCTTGAGTTGAATTTAATTCGTATTGGCTTGCATTAAACAAAATTTTACTTTCTTTGTGTTATGTTTAAATGTTATGACTTATTTATTTTAATTATTTATTATTGATTGACATCCAGTTGTAGCATCATATTTCCTATTTTTAGTGTGTCCTATTTTTTAAGCTTTTAATCATGTTGTGTTCTTTATCCCATACTAGTTCAATATATTTTTCCCCCCTCTTTCTTCTTTAGTTCTTTTGCACCATGGATAGGAGTTGGATGCAACTTCATAATAGAAGGTCATCTCAGTACATTGATGGAGTGAGGGAATTTATCATGTTTGCTCGTGATCATATGAAACCAAGGGTGGATAAGATTTGGTGTCCATGTTATAGATACAACAACCATATTCAAAAGACCGTAGAGGAAGTTGAAATTCATTTGTATGCATATGGGGTGGTCACGAGTTACACTAGGTGGGTGTATCATGGGGAAGGCTTTGAGTTGAATGACAATGATGACTCACAAAATGAAAACAACAAATATCTCTACGATGTGACTGAAAAGTCAAATAGCACCAATACTTAGGTGCGAGAAGTTATTCATGATATACGAAGTGGAATAACCACATTTGGTTATGTGGGAGAAGCATCTAGTAGTCGTAATCTTAACTTATCTGGTAGTTGTGGTGGAGAAACAAAGAAATTTGCAAGATTAATAAGGGATGCGGAGCAAGATTTATATCCGGATTGCCAACGATTCTCCAAATTATCATTCATGGTTAAATTGCTACATCTAAAGATATTTGCTGCAACTGTTGAAGGAGGCACTTTCCTTTGGTGAAATGCTTCCATGCTCTTACAATGAGGCTAAACAAATAATTCGAGATTTGGGCCCCAACTATCAAAAAATACATGTATACAAGAACGATTGCATATTTTTTTGGAAGAAGTATGAAAATGAAGATGAGTGTCCTACTTGCAAAGCGCTAAGATACAAAGTTTGTAAAAGTAAAGGTAAAGGTAAAAAGATCCCTCACAAGATTCTGTGATACTTTCCTTTAAAACCAAGGCTATAAATGCTATTCATATCAAGGAAGACGACTACTGATATGAAGTGGCACAAGGATAAACGTGTAGAGGAGGAAAATGTATTGCATCATCTAGCTGACTCTGAAGCGTAGAAAGCCTTTGACAAAAAAACATGAGTCATTTGCCAAAGAACCTCGTAACATTAAGCTTGGACTAGCTAGCGATGGTTTTAACCTATTTGGAAACATGAGTAACTCATATAGCTTATGGCCAATTTTTCTTATCCCATATAATTTACCACCATGGAAATGTATGAAGAATCCATTTTTTATGATGCCTTTGCATATTCTTTGGGTGTAGGTGTGACAACCACACCTTTTCATGCATCATGAATATTAACTTGCTTATGCATTCATATTATATGTCATATGTTTATATGATTTGAGACTTGTATTAGGACTTGTTGTCGTATTAGAAGAAAATAAGTGGGAGTATGGAAAAAAACTAAGTTAGGAACTTGTTTGTTTTGTGTTAGAATTATTTGTTACGTGTTTTGAGTTAGGGAGTAGTTTAGAGCTTGATTTGAAAACCATAGGTTGTGCCCAAACCTTAAGTGAGGAGCTTAAAGACTTTAGTCTAATAAATTTAACCATTTCATGCTAAATGTTGTTTTACTAAGTAGGATTAGTATTAATTAAATATAATTAGAGAATCTTAAGTGAACTTAATTACCTAGGTGCAACTTGGACTAAGTAAGCCTAAGTAAGAAAAATGATTGGTTTAAGGATGTTACAACCCTTGCCCTAGTTATACACAATAAAACCTCTAACTCTAATCAAACAAATAATATATTTGTTAGAGAGGTGAGAAGAAAAGTGAAGGAGAAAAGAAGAAAAAGGGGAAAAAGAGAAGAACTTCAAGGAATTCAACCAAAAATCACTCTAGGAGTGTTCCAAGGTACGAATTCAATCTTAATTCTTGTAGTAGACTCTCTAAACACCTAAGAACAAGAAGAAATTGGAAGTAAAATGGATTAGAGATGGAAAAGAGGGAAAATAATAGAACTAGGAGGAAGAACAAGCATGAAACTTCTAGGTTTGATTGATTTGATCTTGCTCTTGATGTTTTTGAAGAACATAAAGTAATCATTTCATGTTTCCCTTTAGTTTTGATGATTTTTGAGAGTTTAATCCATGTTTGAAAAGATGAAAATGGAGGATTGTAATAGAGAGAAGAAGTGTTAAATTTCTAAGCAAAAATCTATGAATTGTTTCATGAACTTTGAATTTAAGGTATAAAACTATTTTTCCATGAGTTAAGCATTATTTATCTATACATTTGGACCTTAGACATCATGTTTTCGGACTTGAAAATGAAGAAAATCAAGTTAAGAAGCTTTAGAACTCTAAGAACAGTCCCAAGTTTCGTTTATGCTTGTTGGGCGCTTGAGCAGCCTTCGCCGGGCGCACGAGCGTGCAAAATGCATTTTGCCTGTCTTGACCCACCACTCGAGTGGCCAAGTCCACCGCACGAGCGGCCCAGCCACCGCACGAGCGGCCAATCTAGGCACACGTACGACCAGTCCCGTTTTAGCTTATACCTTGCAACTTCAATTGAGCGTATCTCTCTCATCCGGACTCAATTTTAGGTGATTCTTGAGTTTAAATTCAAGCCCCAGAAGTCTAGTTTCCAATGGTGGTAGTGTCTCATTCAAATTTTAAGTACATAAAAAGATATATTTAAATTAGTGAAGGCTGCTCACTTTCTTTCTAACCGTTTCATGCTAATTCCTTTCCAAACTTAGTTTCCTCTCATTTCTTGCTTAGAAAATAATTAAGAAATATTACAGTAAGCATAGGAAAACAATAAAGAGATGAAAGCAATTTAGGAAACATTAAACAAAGTTAAGCAAACGCTATCTGAGTAAGCAAATGTTTCAATGTATGCTATTGTTTTGTATATGTTAAGCTTTGGAAGAAAGGAACACCTTGTCAAGCCGAGCCATTTGTGAGTAGTAGTGTAGCAAAGTTATGTTTCTTAAATTATGATTCGAAATATAAATGTATGATATGTTTAGAAAACTTATGCTATGGTTTTGTTGTGAATGAACATCCTATACTCTTGTATTATGTATTAAAAAGATGTCTTGGTATCTGTATCTGTTAGTTATTAGGAATCAAGCCAATAATCATGTACTAACTGAGCTCTTCCGCCACCCGTTGTGGAATCTGTTTTGTTATGCTAAGTTCTGAGAATGTCATCACTATGTATATGCTTGCAAATTGGTTTTGGTATATGCAAACTATATTATGTTCAGAATGAGATTATGCTTGGTTTTAAAATAAAACTTATCACTGTTCATTCACTTACCAGTGTGCATTCACTTACCACTTTACTACATTGTTATTCACTGGGCTTTCGCTCACCCCTATCCTCTATATGTATGTAGGTGATGTCGAGGATCCTGTTATGGATGAGAAGTCAAGCTAAAAGTTCTTTTATTTTGTTTTTCTGCTTTTGCGAGCAAGAGCTTTTGGTTGAGAACCCTATATTAGAACTTTGTTTTTGGTTTTGTTGTCTGTATATTTGTAAATATTGTACTTCTCGTTTGAATGTTGAGTGATAACAGTTGAAGATAAATAAATCAAGTTGCTTGTATGTTTCATATAATCTATGCATAGGCTCTGGATAGACTCTTGTTAATTAATGGACTTTGTTAATATTCTACTTAACCCTCAATGTTTTTAGTCCAACCTTGTCCTGTTTTGTGCGGCCTTTGGTAGTTAGACACTACTAGTCGGTCATGTCTGCTATCTTGTTTGGCGTATGATGGGGGCGTGACAGTAGGGCTCCTGGATTGACATTGATGTGTTTTTACGACCATAGATAGATGAGTTAACGGAGTTATGGGAAGTAGAGGTTGTAACGCCCCCAAAATTATACCATAAATACAACCCATAAGCAGAAAGATAATAGAAATACATGCTTTCATTCATTAAAGTTAGTATACAAAAGATAACACATGTGATATACATTCACAAACCCTTCATCCGGAATCTATAGTATGTGTTATAGTGATAAGAGAACTGAGAGCCAAACAAGTAAATAAATGCCCTATAGGCTTACATATTTCCAAGTGGTTGCTTGGTTACAACAAAAGTGAGCCTACCTCAATATAATTTAAGCCCTTGGCTACACAAAAATAAAACAAAATAAAGAAGCCTTTGCTTTCCAAAAGTCCTTCCAAGCTATTGCCTTGGCGGAGGCATGTCATATGGTTTTCCCAAATAAGGTGAGCCAAAACCCAGTAGGAATAATCTAACATAGTAAATGAGATTTAGCAAAGATATAAGTACAATGTGCATACACAGTGTTTGTGACAAGACATTCACATTTTTATAAGATCGTAAAGTACCAGAGTTCGTATTTCAATTCATTTTCCATCCATTCTTTTCAAGTTAATTTACCCTTTTCAACTCATGATCCAATTCCATTTTCTTTCAACAGCCCAACTGAGACTATAACTCGGTGGTTATCTAATCAACACACTTACCACACAAACACTTCAATCTGTCGTTTTATGAAAATTTTGTCCACGGGATTGGCACAAATGTATACACAAGATTTCAAGACTTTCACCCTAGACACTCCGGTTAACTTAATTTTAACGGAGTCCATTCCGTATCTCCTCCCAAACATTAAGTACATCACCTTTCTTCTCCTAAACATCATACATATACAATGTATTTAAAACATATTCATATTCAATGACAATCAACAATGGATTAGTTTTAATTCATCTAATCCTCATGCAATTACTACAACAATAATAGCTATCCTCTACAGATAGCCTAATACAATTATTTCTAAACAGATATTCAATCTCAAGACAGATAATTTATTCAAAAACTTCCAAAGACGAGGGGTATTGCATACTCAACTCCACCATCTATTTCAATACCCGCCCAATTTCATATTTACAATACCAATTTCATTTATTTATACAAAATAAATATTTTAATCATTTGAGGGAAAATTTCCCCATTTTTCCAAATATCAACCCAAGTTCCAAAATCAACAATTTGGCAAAATACATCCTCATTTACAAACTCCATAACCAATTGTTTGTCCTCTTTTAAGTGTTCTTGAAAGTTGTCCTCCTATGCCTAGGTGTTAGACCATTTACATGTGCATATTTGCTTTGCATTTTCATGCTTCCAATTCATGACTTTGGCCGCTGATTTGGGCACGTTTAGGAGTTGTCCACTTTAGTTTAAGTCCATCTTTGCATGTTGTCGCATGCTTCTCTTGCCTGTTGTTGCATGCTTGCTTCATTTTTGCATGTTGTTGCATGCCATGTTTCTTTACATGTTTAGGTAGTATGCCTATTGCACATTAGATGCATTGCATGATCTTGTTGCATACTTGTGTGCATACTTGTTGCATGCTTGAGTTGTTTGCATCATGCTTGCATGTTTGCATTGCATTGTGTGTGCATCACTTGCCTCTTGATCAAGCATGATAGAGGTTGGGGCCCCCTATGTGTTTTTGTGCATTTCATTTGATATTGAATTGCACACTTGGCTCCTTTGGCCATCATGCACTGAAATGTGTGATTGGTGGTCCGAGGGTCAAGAACTACACACCTTTGAGTCTTAAACATGATAAGGGGTGTAGTTGTGCAGACATTGTCTTGTAAATATATTGCTATGCTCTGTTTGTCCTCTGCTGCAGCAACAGGAGCTTTTCACAGGAAGAGATGGCCGATCGACCACATTCAGTGCCGATCGGTAACAAACATCTGGCTGAGAGCCTTATATTTGGTCGATGACCAATTTCCCATGGCCGATGGCCTCCCAGAATGTCCGCAAGGTGGTTAAAAAGTGTCACAAAAGTTGGCACAATTTTCAGAGGAACAGATCAGTGCAAACAGAGGCAACATGAAGCATGGCAACGAATTTCCGAGCAAAGCCAACCGAGCATGCATTCGTCCCTCTTCCCGAGGCTGTTTTACTGTTTTCATAGCTTAATTAATTTGTTTAATTAGTTACGTGTTGTGTAATAATTAATTAGCTTGTTAGTTAGTTAATTAGTTAATTTGTATTATTCTTTTGGTCCCTCCGTCGAGAGGGCGCAATTTTGTAATAAGCATGCCTGTGTGTGATGCATGTCTTCCAATCCCCATTTCTTTCTCTCTTTTACTTAACCGCTTACAATGGTTAGTTTTAGGGTATGTTTCATTTAGCATACTTTATGCTTGCATGTTTGCATCCATTCATCTGTATTGCATACACCGGGCTCAACGCATCATACTAACTGCATTATATTTTAATTCCAAGTTGAATACATGTATCAATTGTCGCATTTCACATGCCATTCTTAGGATAGCCGAGCCTATTCTAGTTGTGTTTTGCATGTGTTGCATTAGCCATCTTAACATGAACTAGGGTCGTGCATTGATTACTAACTAGTTCTTTGTTTTGGCTCGGATTACACTGTAAGTGTTTATGCTTTAGCATCTTGCGTAAGTGTGAGTTTTGCCATGATAGCATGCTTGCCATGAGGCTAATTGCTTATGTGATATAATTACTTGAGTGCCTGTGGGTGAAGGTTGGATTGCTTGAATTGGAATAATTCATTGAAATCTATGTTTTAGCCTACTTGCGAGTAGCAAACTGCAAACCATTTTCCAAACAAACGGATATGTGATACTTTGTTCCAAATTAGGCGATCTAGTTTATACTTGTGTGTTGTGCGCATCACATAGTAATTCTAGCTAATTAACCGGAATAAGAACGCATGTGTTTTCAAAAACAAAATATCATGCTAATGAAAAAAATGATATAAATTGTGGTTGTTATGAACTGATATACACACAGTCCGCTCGAGCGTGAGAAGTGACATTCGAGTGTTGGATACATTGTTTCACTTGAGCACAATAAGTGACGCTCGAGTGCAGAATACACATTTTCAGAAGTTTTGTAGACAAAGGACATCGTTCGAGCTCAAGATTGGACGCTTGAGCGCCCACCCGCTCGAGCGTAGGAAATGCTGCTCGAGCATAGAATACACTCTTCCAGTATTTGCAGGTCTACAAAAATACTGAGAGTTTGCAAAGCCCGCTTGAGCGCAAGAATGGCCGCTCGAACAGAGGAGCAAAAATCTGGGCAACATAGGTTTGGAAAATTAAGCAACCAACCTGTTCCAAACACACAACTACAATCCAAATGACTAATCCAAGGAACAACAAGGGTAATAAGAGATGGACAACAACATTGAATCATGAAACTCGAGTCCGGAACATAATAAAATGTCAGGTCAAAACCGGAGTTGCTATAGAGGTAGAAACATATGATGCATTAAATGACCTGAATTTTCAATTGCATGCCGCATTATTATAGACCATCAACGATTCCCCTACGTATGGTAACCTAATTGGTTGGAGCACCAAAGGGAAATTGGTTTTTCCTTCATGTAATGAGGATGCATCTCACCAATACTTGTATCATTGGAAAAAAACTTGTTACATGGGACATTGTCGTTTTTTGTCGCATAATCATGTTTTACAAAAACAAGGCATAATCATGTTTTTTGCCGCATAAAACCTTTCTAAATGCCAAGTTACAATTCTTTGAGCTGACTCTCTTCTTATAAAACTCACTCAAAGAACCTTCCTTACCTTGTGATAATCTAAATAGGCTTGGGAATTCTTCTTACTTTGTACTCTGACTTATACATTTAATAATAGGTGAGATGTGGTAAGAATAAGTTAAATTAGGAGAAGTTGAAAGTCCTCCACACTGCTGGCTCAAAGGCCTTCAGAAAAGTGCAATATGATGAGGTATTAATTATAGAATCTTTAATTTATGTTTTGTAATTGTAATTGAACAACGTAATCTATATTGATGTTTAATGTGTGCTATAAATGGCACAGCGAGACTGTGCCACTGGAAAGGAACTTGGACTTATTGAGTTGCACAAAAAGAAGCATTTTAGTAAGAAAAAAGAGGCATGGGTGCATGCTGATGCTGAGATTAGACATGTAAGACATCAATCTTTATGTACTTTCGTTCCTTATATCCTTAATAAAATGTGGATGGATACTTAGTTTTATCTCAACTAATGAATATTGTAGTACAAGCTTGAAAAGCGATAGGACAAAGCTATTGAAGATGGATTTGGCCGCTATCTAGTGAACAACTTTCTATTGAGGTATTTGGACAAAAAAGTAGCTACATACGAGGCTCAAGGCGTGGTCGAAAACCAAGTACAACATTATCTAAAAAACGTACCCGTGCCCAACTCAAGAGAGATAATGAGGCTACTACAAGGGAGGCTGAAGAGCAATGAAGAATCAATGAGGAGTTGGTGGAAAGAATTCAAATCTTGGAGTCCGATTGCATGGAATGCAATGCCAAAGTCGACTTCTTGATGCAGCAGATCAGTCAAAGATGACCCTTTACTGATTCTTCTTCTTAGTACGTCATCTTTTTAGATCTACATTCATTTCCTTTGTGGTTTTCTATACTATTTTCATGAGTATGCACTGAAGAAGGGTGTTGATGGTTCTAAAGTTGAAGCATATAGCTAGTAGTGGGTTT